CCAGGGCCTGGCTGGGCTGGGTCTCGGGGGCTGTGGGTCCTACAGAGGCTCGAGATCGGTGAGACTCTAGATCCAGTCTGGACAAACCCCCTCTGATTTGCACTCCTATGCCCCCTTTCCATCCTAGGCAGGGGCTCCCTGGCTCGCTTCTCCAGCCACGTCCTAAGCACCTGCTCCTACCGGCCCAGGGACAGGCACTGCGGACATAAACATGCATGAGACCCTGTGCCCTTTACCCAGCGTGCCCTTTACCTGTTGTGTGCTCAGGACCCCCCAGGTTAGCCCATGTGGATGGGCGATGACGTCTGTTTGCCCAGAGCCCAGGTTTCAGTCACCATCACTCATACTATCTCAGAAGCTCTGTCAACCCCAGGGACGCCCCTTCCCCTCCCTGAGAGCTGTTGCAACATTGGGACCAGAGGAGAGGCCTCCTCACCCGTGCCCGGGTGAAAGGGAGTTGTGAAATGTGTGCTTGAAAGGACCCTTTGTCCCCAGGACATGGTGGCCCGGCACTGTGCCTCTGGCCGCCTCCAGCAGGAAGTGGGCTGGGGTGGGTGAGCCCAGCTCCTGCCGGCAAACAAAAGGTGTTGTGTGCTCAGGGCCGGCCCGCTGGTGCCCTCGGGAGGGCCAGGCCCAGGGATGGGGCAGGCCTGCTGCCTGCTTGTCCCTTTGTTCTGCAAATGCTGAGAGCAGGCAAGCCCACAAAGTGACCTGCATGCATCTACATGCGTGTTTACATGAGAGTGCACATGTGGGTGCATGTGATACATATCTCTGTGTGTGCTTGCACATATGTGTGCATGTGTGTGCTGCACCTGTAGATACGTGTTTGCGAACATGCATTTACATGGGCATGTGTGTGCCTGTGTGTGTGCCTGCATGCCTCTGCGTGTGTGGTGTGTGGTGTATACATGTGGGTGATGTGTACGTGTGTCTGGGGGGTACATATGTGTGTGGTGTATACATGTGGGTAATGTGTACGTGTGTCGGGGGGTACATATGTGTGTGGTGTATACATGTGGGTGATGTGTATGTGTGTCTGGGGGGTACATATGTGTGTGGTGTATACATGTGGGTGATGTGTATGTGTGTCGGGGGGTACATATGTGTGTGGTGTGTGGTGTATACATGTGGGTGATGTGTACGTGTGTCTGGGGGTACATATGTGTGTGGTGTATACATGTGGGCGATGTGTACGTGTGTCGGGGGGGTACATATGTGTGTGGTGTATACATGTGGGTGATGTGTATGTGTGTCTGGGGGTACATATGTGTGTGGTGTATACATGTGGGTGATGTGTACGTGTGTCTGGGGAGTACATATGTGTGTGGTGTGTGGCCAGGCATCACGGCTACAGCATAGGTGAGGCTGGAGCCCCCTTCACCATCCTAAGGCCCCAGGGGCCCTGCCCTCCTTCCTTCTTCTCTTTCTGACCCTGAGTGGCACTGTGCATGTTACCACATCATGGCTGGCAGGGATGAGGGTCCTCTCCGTAGAGGGACAGTGGGCTGGGGCCTGGCACTGGAGCACGCGTGTGTCCCGGATACTGAAGGCTGACACATGGCCCCAGATCCCTCCCCTGTCCTCAGCCTCACAGTCCCAGTGAGCTCCGGTGGTTCCATCCTAGCCTGACCGAGAGGGCCCCAGCAACATAGCCTGTGGGTGCTGGCCAGCCACGCCCTGTGCCAGGTGGGGTGCTTCTACCTATGCTGTCTCCACCCTCAGCGTCCTTCTCCTGGGACTTCCCAGCCCAGAGCACGAGCTTCAGGGTGGGTACAAGGTCCCAGCTGAGCTTGGCAGTGAAGGATTTGAGCCCAGGCCACCTCCTGTCCACCCTCTCACAGCCTGCCCTGCAGGCAGGTCAGGACCTGCCCTCAGATGCCACCCACACTGCCCTGGTTTTCTGGTCTGTGCCGGCCCCACTCCTGATGGCCCAGGTCCTGCCTTGTGCTGCAGAGAGGGCCAAACCTGGCCCTGGCAGATGCGGAAACATCTTCCTGTTGCAATTGAAGGGCTCACTTCACCTGAGACAGCCCAGTCTGGCTGTTAGGGCAGAACAGGACAGGCACTGGGAACCCCAGGGGGTTTCTGAGGTGCCGTTCAGCTCAGGATGAGAGCAGGAGCCACACCGCACTGAAGGCCACCCTGGACGCTGTGGTGTGGGATGGATGGGAGCACACATGGGGATTTCTTTTAAGCCACACCGGAGCCTCTTCCTTTCGGGTCCTTCAGTGTTGGTACCAGATAAACACACCCCCAACACACACGCACGCGCGCGCACACACACACATGCACACACACACACGCACACCCACACATGCACACACGCACGCACACACATGCACACACGCGCGCGCGCACACACATGCACACACACATGGACACACGCACACACACATGGACACGCACACGCACACACATGCACACACACATGCGCGCACACACATACACACACACACACACACAATGCTTACTGTAATTTGTCCAGCTCTTTTCCCAGGCATTGCAAGGGGATTTCTGCTATTGGGGCGTCTGTGTTTCATCCTGTAGCTTCCTCGTGGGTTTAAGGTTCGTGTTCATGAGTGTCTGAGATTTTTCTACCATATTTACTGTCACCCAAAACGATGCATCCAGGATGGGAGACGCCGCTGCTGGCAGCTTTCTGCAGGAATAAGGAACAGACAAGAAAAGAGGCCCTGGGAAGACCCATGGCAGATTCCAGACCTCCCAGACCTGCCTCCCCTGCGATGACCCCAGGGCCCGCGCCCCCGTGGGTTGAGGAGTGAGCTGTCCCTCAGGACCCTGTCCTCTGCTGCCCACTGCTCCTACAGGGACAGCCACTGCCTGCGGGCCAGAGGCATAATTGGCTGGCCCTGTGCAAAATGAAATGCAGGGCCCTTATTAAAAATTATTCAGAATTTCAAGACATGGGAACTGCAGAGCGTTGTCCAAGCAGTGGCTCTCCTGCACCTGCGGCCGTGTGCAGCCGTCTGTTTGCATAGCCATGAAGCCAGCCGGCCGCGTGTCGGGAGGACCGTGTGTTAGCACACATGCGTGCACACATGTGCATTTGCAGAACTGTTTAGATAGTAGTCATTTCCCTCCTGTGGTAAGGAATCTCCGAAACTTTTTCAAGTTTTCAAGTAAACAAGTATCCTGGGGAACTACAGTTCTGGTTTATGCAAATTGAGAGTCCTGTGCTTTATTTAAAAAAAGGAAAAGAGGTGACGTGGAAGAGAAAACCCAAGAGAGAGGAGGAAATCAAGGGTTCTGGAGTGTCGTGAGAGGGACCGGGGCTTCAGACAGGAGGTTGGGGCTGGGGGCCATGGGGGCCAGTCTTGCCCTGGGCCTGGGTGTCTGTGCAGCCTGGGCCTGGTGGGGGTGACAGAGAATCCTTCTCTGCTCTGCAAGGCTGGCAGCTGAGGCAGCCCAGACACTGGATTCTCTGCATCCTGGGGCCACTGGACCCATCAAACACTGAGCCCCAGGAAGCAGGGACCCAAAAGGAAAGCAGGAAGGGGCTTCATAGGTGAATTGCCTGCATCCAACAAGATGAGTTCCAAGCCTCTGCTCAGAACAGTGAGGAGCCCGAGGAACTGTGAGTGGGCGAGGAAGGGGCGGAGAAGGCCAACCCTGGCCCTCCCAGCACTGGCACGAAGCGAGTCACGTGCAGTCCAACCACCTTGCAAGTAGCGTGGGGTGCGTGGCGTTCACCAGCGAGTGCAGTGGGAATATGTGACAGCTTCATCCATTCTCCTAGAGCCTTGGATCCAAACTTTCAAACTTCTTTTTCTTGTAAGATGCAAAGTTCTCCCTGATCTCCAGCCATGGGGTTAAGGTTGGTGTAGAATCCTGTGTATATAAAGGTACATGTTTATAACTTAACCTTGAACCAAAATACTGCCTGGCAGGTGTTTGGTGTCTGATCTGCATGCCTACGTTTTTCAGCGGGATAGCAACCCCTGTTTGTAGGTCCCGTTTATATAAAAGTAATTACGTGTGCATTAGGAAGGACCTATTTTTCCCCAGTTTGAGAAATGACTAATCGTTCTTTTGAGATTCCTGCAGCGAAGGTTATGTTAATACAATATCAGCTTTTACTCTGCCGTGAAGTCCTTGTTTCTCAGGCTTTCTGGTAGAGAGTAATCTCCAGTCTGCCTAACCCTACAGCCACAAAATGGGGTGGCTTTCGAGGGAAGAGAGAAAATGCAATTCTCTGTGGCATGGAAGGAGTTGATGTGGGCTTCAGAGTCCTTGTGCTGGTGGGGGGCCAGTGCCCCCATCCGCCGGGCCCTCCCCTGCCCCCTGCCCTGTCCAGGGGTCATGACAAGACTCATCCTTTCCTCTTGGAGCCTTGACATGGCTGGTCACATCCTTTCACCTTGGAGCCTTGACATGGCTGGTCACATCCTTTCACCTTGGAGCCTTGACATGGCTGCTGCTGGGCCAGCCCCAGGGGTCCGCCGGGCGTCTGCAGATGGGGGCCAGGGGCTGCTGTAAAATCCTCCAGTCAAGGATGGCGCATCGACTCCCTACCTCCTGCGTGGCCTCACACTCTGACTCCAAGTCTGGACCCCCTTGGTTCCCACCCTGTGCACAGGCCTGCCCTCGCTACATCTGAGGACAGCCTGACTGGGAACCCTTCCTCCTGCCTTTCCCTGCTCTCTAGTGGATTCCAGATGAGAGAGAGTGGGGCAGCCACGCTGCAGGAGGGGCCACGGCTCTGCTCCACGGACGTGTCTCCAGCTCCCTCGGTCACTGCTTACTGCTCCACGACTGGCCGATGGCAGAGCAGGACTTGGGGAGCAAGCACTAAACCGGGAGACCAGGAAGCTGGTGAAGCCCCTGGGCCCGGTGTCCCTGCCTGAGGGTCCCCGGGTGGAGCCGTACCGGGCATTGCCTGAGGGCCCTCCCAGCCAGTGTCAGGACCCAGGTCCTCTTGGCAACACCGTCACGATCCGTGACAGCAGCACGCTGACTGTCTCCCTCTTCTCCCGCAGCAAGAATTATCAAGACCAAGCAGTGGTGTGACATGCTTCCGTGTCTGGAGGGGGAAGGCTGCGACTTGCTAATCAACCGGTCAGGCTGGACGTGCACGCAGCCCGGCGGGAGGATAAAGACCACTACGGTACGTGGCCCTTGGCTTTCTCGTGTGTGTGCTGGGGAGGGGGCATGTGCAGGCCTCCGAGGCCACCCTGGCTCCGAGGGGACGGGTGGCAGCTGCTCACCTTGTCCTCGTGCAGAGAAGCCAGGACCCCACCTCCCTCTCTGGGGCTGAATTCCTGACCATCTGTCCTGGGGCGGAGGGTTCATGAGTACATGGGGGCTGAGAGCTGGATAAAGAACCACCTGCAAGGCTGGTCAGCCCAGAAGTCAGATCACAGACCAGGCCCCGAAATCCGTTGGTTAGAGCCATCTTGTTTCCGGGACTGATGTGCCCGTGACTCCCGGTTGGAGGAGGCGTCCGCCCCTCCTGAGGATGAACTTCTGATAACTCCCCCAGGGAACAGGGAGCTTCTGCAGAGACGGAGCCGGGTGCGGGTTCCGTCCAGGTGTGCTCCTTCCATCCCTGGGCCTGGCCTAGTGGCTGCTCACACCAGAGACCCGGAGGGCCCTTCAGCTCCTCTTTGTCCCACTGAGTGGGGCATGCAGCGCGCCCCGCCCTCCCAAAGCCACAGCTGACCTGGGTCTCTAGAGCTGCTCTTCCCGAGGGCAGAAGCTTGGGGAGCGCGGGGTGGCCCTGGGCCTTTTCCGAAGGCAGCTCCTCCAGGCACGCCACGGATTCTGAGGCAGTTTCCCCTGCAGAGGGGCAGAGGAGGCGGGCAGAGGAGGGGAGCCCACGTGCATGGGGCTTGGGCCATTCACGTGTGGGGTGGCCTCGACTTCTCACTGGCGAGTGGTACCCCCTTATCCTGGCTCCTCCTGCTTTGAGGTTGGCATTGGAAGCTGAGGACATGAGTGGGTGAGGGTTTCCCTAACATGGATCTGGGCTCCCTGCTCTGAGAATGTTCAGTCAGGGAGATCTGTGGCTGGGCAGAAGGATCCGGAAAGCCCCTGGCATCCGAGCCCCCTCCAAGGATTGCACGGAGAGAGGGGGCTGCAGCCCCTCACACTGGGCTGCAGGGAAATCCTTCCTCTTGCTGCCTGAGCGGCCTCCAAGCGAGGGCTCGGCTGGGCTGTTCCGGCACTCGGTTCAAGAGGCCGATTTGGTGGAGTTGCTCCAAGGAGAACCACGGATCCCTGGGGTTCTAACACAATTCGGGGCTGTCAGGGTCGTCTTCTGGAAGTCGCACAGCTTTCTGCTGCAGCCAGGATGTCAGTGAGATGGGCAAGGCAGCACGCCAATCCCCCCATGGGTTTCTCAGGGGCCTCTTGTATTTGTGGAAGTTCATGCAGACTCAGACTCGCTGGCGGCCCAGGGCCCCCTGGGAGTGCCTGCCTGGAATGTGGGCCTGCAGGAGGAGTGTGAGGCCGGGCACCGGTGCCACCCTGAGGCATGCGGACAGGACAGGAGATGAGGGGCGTGGGTTGGTCTAAGCTGAGGTCCTGGGCTTGCCTGGTCAGGGTTTGTTTATCTGGCATTCAGTGCAGAAGCAGATGATTCCGTCCTGCACCCGTGAAATGCACAGTGCTCTACCATTTCCTACTGCTACCTGCCCGCAGAGGAGGCCTAGGCCCTCCTCTGTCCCTGCTCGTTGGGGTTCCCAGGCCTGCACTACCTCCCCGAATCTCCAGCAACACAAACAGCAGGTGCATTCCATCTGCCTGTGGACCCCGGTCAGGCGCAGCCTTTCACATCCTTCGTAGAAGCTTCAACATAAGCAGCCACCTCGCCCCGAATTTTGGAGGGATGGGTGTGAGAGCCACTCTGGGTCCCAGCTGCCAGTGACCCATCACTTCTCAGTCACCCTTTGATGAGCCCCTCCTCCTTGTGATTCGAGGCCCATGAGGCACCCAGGCCAAGCGTTCAGGCCGCACCCCTTCAGGAACGAACTCGGATGCACCTCTGTGAGTTGACTGCTCAGTTCACCGGGGTGGGAAGTCAGGAGTCCACAGACGCCATGAGAGCTGGCGGTGGATAAAGGTGTCGTCACTTCGACACGGGCAGCCCTGCTGAGCCAGTGACAGGGCTGGAACCGGCCCAGCCCTTCCAGAGGCATCGAGGTGCTTGGCAGGAACAGGATTGGGTCCTTACTTGGAGGCTGCTGGCATCGTCACATTTTGGTTTTTGGTAATTTATTGTGGTGAAATTCACATAACATAAAGTCCATTTTAAAGCGAGCAGCTCAGTGGCGTTGGACACACAGTGCTGTGCCACCACCCCTCTACCTGCTTCAGAGCATTTACATCCCCCTGGAGGGATGCCCTTCGCCCACCGGGCGGCAGCATTGGAGTCTTCAGATCTGCATGAAGGCTTCTCCTGGTGCAGCTCTGCAGCCACTTCTGCCCAGGGTCACCGTGGCAGACCTTCTGGCCCCGATAAGGGCAACGCTAATTAAAGTGATCAGTGAAGCCCCCCGCACGCAGGGCGCACGCTGGTAAGTGAGGGACACAGATGTGGCCTGTCCCCAGCTTGTCAGGCTGCCCGGAGAACGCCTTGTCAGACAGCTTCATGGTATCTTCCTTTCTTCACCGTTGGCCCAAACCCTGGACCCAGCCCTCCCTGCCTCCTGCATTCACCCAGAATGCATGTCTTCTCCTCTCTCCTCCTCCCGTTTAGTTCTTCAGTGCCTGAGTCATTCTCATGAAGTCTCATCAGGGACCCCTTCACCTACCCCAGAACCAGACGAGGGCCGCCCAACCAGCCTCCCGCGTCCGTCCAGGTCTGCCTGGCCAGCACGGCCTCTGTATGTGCAGAGATGGGGAACCGAGGTGTTCTCTGCATCAGCTCAGTCCAAGCCCACAGGGCCCACCATGGGAGACAGCGAGCCCCCCTTGTTCTGGGGCATTTGAGACAGAGGCTGACCAGGCACCCGGGATATTCCAGAGGGTTCGAGCCTTCCTGGCTTGGGGAACAGTAGCTGCACCCGTCCAGTGCTTGGCGTGCTCAGAGAGCCTGGCGGAGATGGCTGCGGACTCTCCTTCCCTTGGGCCTCGCAGGCCTGGGAGCTCAGTTTCACACGCTTGAATACTGCGGCTGGGCGAGCTGGAGTGACCGCTGGTGGCCAGGGGGACAGAATTCCAGGGAGGTGGGATCGATGCTGCCTGGTCTGCTCAACACAAACGCCAGAGCTGGCTCGGCGTGAGACCCCACGTGGCTTTCAGCTCAGGAGACTCAGATACTCTGGTCTTCCCATCGTTAGGACACTTTGCAGGGGACCCCCCAAGCCTCTGCTGGTGGAAGCTGGGAGGGCACCTGCAGGGACCAGGGACATGGGCAGGTGGGAGTCTGATTGTAGCAGGACACTCCATCATCCAGCGTGGGAAGGACAGGTGCCCCCCCCCGGGCTGGTCACTCGCAGGGAGCCTGACTCTTCTGGAGAGTGAGGTCTCATAGGTGGAGGGGATGGCTCTGCTTTCCTGGGGGAGAGTGTGTGTCGGGGGCTTGAGGACCTGTCTCTCAGCCTTTGCCTCACGTTGCCATGGCGGGGGCACCTTGTGTACATGGCCACGGGTGCCTGGGCTGGTGGATCTCAGTGAGTGACCGTGTGCTCACTCCAGGGGACCGGGGTGGGCCCTGTCGTCTTCCCAGGTATCTCAGGAAAAGTCTGGGAACAACAGGAGAGCCGGCTCCTAATAGAATCGCTGGCCTGTGGTGACCTGTGTTCAAAGCTTTCTGAAAAGGTTAGTTGGGCTCTTGAACCAAACACCATAGAATTGGGAGCTACAATCCCAGTTGTGCGATTGCATCTGAGTTCTCTCATGGATGGTAAATTAGCACTACAGGAGATTTCACCCTTTACCATAAACTGGTTTTCTGAGAGATGATGGTGTTCTCATAACTTGGCTTTTAGAGACCCAGTGGATACTGAGTTGCTGCTAATTCCATCCTAATGGCCACGTTCTCATATGAGAGCCCGCCTCCAGCCCAGCCCTGATGCAGGCAGCCACCCGCTCCCAGCCTGCCCAGCTACGCTCCAGCATCGTGCCGAGCCCCGTCACTCCCCAACCCCTTCCGTGCCGAGCCCCCGTCACTCCCCAACCCCTTCCTGTGTGGCCGTTGCTGTTTACTTGTCTGTGTGGGCCCACCAGAGTGTGGGTCGCCTAGCACCGGTGCTGGGCCTAAGGGTGCTGCTGCCCCGTGCCCTGGCAATGCCTGCGCCTCTGTGTGTGACACGTGGATTCAGGATTCATGGATTAACCCGAGTGTGGACCCCAGGCACATGCTGATGCTTCTGTTTCCAGGATCATTGCTTTTTTTGAGATGGAGTTTCGCTCCTGTCACCCAGGTTGGAGTGCAAGGGCACAATCTTGGCTCACTGCAACCTCCACGTCCTGAGTTCAAGTGATTCTCCTGCCTCAGCCTCCAGAGTAGCTGGAATTATAGACGCCCACCACCACACCCAGCTAATGTCTGTATTTTTAGTACAAACGGGGTTTCACCATGTTGGCCAGGCTGGTCTCGAACTCCTGATCTCAGGTGATCCATCCGCTTCGGCCTCCCAAAGTGCTGGGATTACAGGCGTGAGCCACTACGCCGGCCCGAGATCACTGCTTTTGAAAGTGCAGGTCGTCACCCCGTTAGTGGGTTGTGAAATTAATTTAATAGGTCATGACCAGCATTTAAAAGGAGGAAGGAATAGAATGAAAATGTGAGAGGACATCTGTGTCAGGAGGGCGAGCGCCCGGTGACAAGGCCCGTGCCCGCGCACACACGGTCACATGGGAGAAGCCTTTCTCCTAGATTGCTATGAAAGGCTAGAAATCCACGTCCTGTGGGGACTCGAGAGAAACTGACCGCTGCAGTGCTTTTCCAGGCACTGCCTCTCAGCCGGCTCTGCCCTGTGGACGTCCACTTGCCCCAGGCGAGGGGACCCTGGGTGGGTGTTGCAGGTTCTCCTGAGGCATGAGCAGCGCCCCTTCTTGGCTCCCCATTCTGGCTCCTGCTCCCTGGGGACAGGCCCAGAGCTGCTGTCCGCCCTCCTTCCCATTCCCCTGCTCTGCTCTGGCTTCCTCTGTCCTTGAGCTGGGCTCGGGCTCGCAGAGCTGGAGGAGGAGGGACAAGAAGGGCTCGTGGGGCCGAGGGGAGCAGACCGGGCCACGAGCAGGTCTTCTCTCCACAGATATTCCGTGGCTGGGGCTGCGGACCGCGCAAGTGACTGGCTTTTGGAAATATTCTCATCAGTGTTTGCTCAGTCACATTTTTGGAATGTTTATGTATCGCAAGATACTTGTCAGTGAGCTGTGCCATCTCCTAAATCGGAATCAGCCAGCTAGATGGAAATCCTGTTTGCACATTCACTATTGAGCACCACCTTCTAATTCTGTGCTGCATGAAATCACAGTTGTGGGGGTGAAAAAAATTCAGTGGGGTTTCTGTATGGTTCTGTTTGGGAACTTGTATTTCATGGAAACTCATTACGCTAAAAGCCCGTTTCCCCAACATGAGAGATTCGGAGGATGTGCAGACAGCAGCTGCCGCTGATCTCGTGGGGGCTTGGATGTCTAAATT